CATCAAGAACCAACTTGGCTTAACCATTTTTTAGTCAATAATTTCACACTGGAATCTCAATGCAAGACATAAAGTGCAGCAAATTGCCTAGAAACGAAAGCTACAAGGAAGGAAGATACCATACCTAAGAACAAATGCTAAAAGGCACTTAGAGTAACGCGATGTTTTCGTACACACTCTTAAAATATATTGATTATTTTCATTTATAACTCTTTACGATCGTAAAAACTTCACTTGTATCGCACATAAAATACTATTCTAAGAATGATTTAGATGCTTCTCCTTCTCGTCCCCACCTCATTTGAAATTCTACTTTCCCTGTTATTTCACTCTCACGGTCCCACCTCGTTCTAAACTTTTGAAAATTCCATGTTCTATGAAAGCTGTAGAATTGAAAATAAGAATTACGTGAGAATCTCAAGTTTCAAGTCTTCTAGTTGAGGAGACATGTCTTTCATTTTCATAATATGCTTGGCGAACTCTTTCACTTTCCACTTAAATGAACAAAGTAGGGAAAAAGAGTGTAAACATAATTAAAAAAATTAATGAATGTGTGGTAAGCAACATACAAAGATTATAGTAGCGTTTACATGCTTGTCTGTCATTTTGCTTAACTCTTTCCAATTGATTATGCAATCGAATTAAACTATATTCGATCAGAAACATATATTTGATGATAATGATAACGAGGTCATGGCTATATTAACAACATATATATATATATATATTTTTTAATTGCATTAAAATCTTTAATCTTGAGTTTTTTTTTTTGTACCTATTAATTTTTGCTAATTTAAAAATATGAGGGCTAAATAAGTCTTTTTACATCAAATCGCCGACTTTTTGTACTAAAAGTGCTAATTAAGGAAAATTTGAGTATAAGGATATAAAGAAAAAAAATTGTGAAAATAGGGGCATCTCCAATGGAGACACCAAAATGCACCAAAATTTGGTGCAAAAGCGCTCCAACATGGCACCAAATTTTACACTAGTTTGGTGTTTTGGTGCAAAAATGAATAGTTTGGTGCAACACTATTCACTTTGCACCAAAATAGTGTAAAGTCAAATTTGCCCATTTTTTCATTATTATTATTATTATTATTATTATTATTATTATTATTATTTGCATTTAAAATATATTTAACCGAAACTAAATAATTTTTTTTATGTTTTATAAGGTATTAATTAAATTATTTTATTTTTTTCTATACAAATTAGCAAATTAATTAAATAAATTAGATTATTTCATAATTTTAATTTTAAAGCTCAAATCATTTTTAAATGTTTTTGAACGATTAATTAAATAAATTAGATTAATCTTATTGGACGATTAATTATTTATATATTTTTGAATTGGGCTACGTTAATTTGTAAAAGTTACGAATGGAATGTCATTAGTTGTATTTATGTAGTGTTGTTGAAAATATTAAAAAATTTAATTATGGTACGGAACCGAACGGAATCGAACCGACCCGAACCGAACCGAACCCGAACGGTTCCATAATTATATTTAGACCCGATGGGTCCATTTATTAAATACCCGAAAGTTTTGGGTCGATTCGGGTCTCTTCAGAACCAAACCGAACCGATCCACGGACAGCCCTAGATTAGGGTAATTATATTCACGTCACAATTTTTAATTGTTGCAACACATTTTAATTGCACTTGAAGTTCTTCATCTTTGTTTATTATAGCACTTATGTCTTTAATACGATATTTAATAACAATTTTAGTTCAAAAGTCCGTTGAAATGACCAAAAACAATTTTTATTTACCATCATAATTTTAAAAAATAAACAAATATTTATACCTCATTTCAAAGGATGAAAACAAAATAATTTGATATAAATCATCATCAAGAACAAGATGTACTAGTTAATGGAAAGTTGAAGATAAGAATTTGAAAGAAAATAATTGTTGCTACACTGAACAAAGATTAATGAGTTTAAATATATTTAAAATGTAATATATTAAATAAAAAATGTGATGACTATCAATAAGATGAAACGACCCAAAAACTTTTATTTGAGAAAGGACAAAATTAATTAAAACATATCTACAACCAACTTGGCTTAACCATTTTTTAGTCAATAATTTCACACTGGAATCTCAATGCAAGACATAGTGCAGCAAATTGCCTAGAAACAAAAGCTACAAGGAAGGAAGATACCATACCAAAGAACAAATGCTAAAATGCACTTAGAGTACCGCAACGTTTTCGTACACACTCTTAAAATATATTGATGATTTCTATTTGTAACTCTTTACGATCGTAAATTCTTCACTTGTATCGCACATAAAATACTATTCTAAAAATGATTTGGATGCTTCTCCTTATCGCCCCCACCTCATTTGAAATTCTACTTTCCATGTTATTTCACTCTCACGGTCCCACCTCGATCTAAACTTTTGAAAATTCCATATTCTATAAAAGCTGTAGAATTGAAAATAAGAATTACGTGAGAATCTCAAGTTTCAAGTCTTCGAGTTGAAGAGACATGTCTTTCATTTTCATAATATGCTAAGCGAACTCTTTCACTATACCAATCACTTTCCATTTAAATGAACAAAGTAGGGAAAAAGAGGACTGTAAACATAATTAAAAAAATTTGAGTATAAAAATATAAAGAAAAAAAATTGTGAATATTAGGGTATCTCCAATGCAGACACCAAAATGCACCAAAATTTGGTGCAAAAGTGCTCCAACGTGGCACCAAATTTTGCACCACTTTGATATTTTGGTGCAAAAATGAATAGTGTTGTACCATATTGGGTGCAACACTATTCACTTTGCACCAAAACACCAAAATGGTATAAAGTCCAATTTGCTCCTTTTTTTCATTTTGTCAAAAGAATTATTGGAGGGTATTTATGTCATTTGTATTATATAATTTTTAATACAATTATTAGTATTATTAGTATTATTAAGGATATTATTATTATTATTATTATTATTATTATTATTATTATTATTATTATTTGCATTTAAAATAAATTTTAAATGTTGAAAATAATAATTTTTGAATTAATTACTAAATTTTA